TTTATGTTCTGGTGATAAGCCTGTTACATAAACAGAAACTAACCCAAGTCCAAGTGTTTAATCAAACAGCTTCAATATTTTCTAGGGTATTATTATTATTTAATTGTGTGGTGTAAGGCTTCAACCAATAGTGTTTTTATTAAAAAGGTCCCCTAGTATACTCTTTTTGAACAATATATTATAGGTCCCAGATATACACAAAACATGTCTCTAAAGTGTTTGGCTTGAAACACCAAACAGATCATTACTGTAGCATGCCATAAACCCCTCTGTTTCAAAACCGCTGATTCTGTGTCTGTAGCTTTAAATGCAAATGAGCTGCTGCTGGCCACGCCCCTCTGAGAGATGACTGTTTAAAAAAAAAAAACACACAATAGCCACGTTCACACCGCAGTACTTTTCCCACTTTAGTTCCGATATAGTTCCGAAATGTCGCGTTCACACCAAAAACATCCGGAACAAAAATGAGTTCATCAGAACCTTTTTTACCCCCTTTTCCGTGCTAGAGATCAGGTACTTTTGTGGGAGAAAAAGGTTCCTATTTCTGATTGGCTGGGCGGAATGCAAACCACGCCCCGTAAAACTCCAATAAAGTTGTGTGAAACCGCCATTTTATTATCCTCGCATTAGCATTATTAGCATTAGCATTAGCGCAGCGCACAAACGCAGAGAGACTAACTTATGGCAACACAAAAGAAAACATGGGAGCGGTGGAGATGAGGAGGTGTCGGCGTTCTGGCGATTTACTCGGAAGGCTGGGACTCCCAGCAGCTTCTACTGAAGCCAGTCCCCAACTCCGGGGACTTCCGTCCGGGGACTTTGGGTGGCAGTATACGCCGTGAAGTGGTTTGCGGCCTGCCAGTAAACCCAAAGCAGAAGAAGAAGAAGTGACGTCAGCGGCTTCATTTGCCTAATCCTTCCCCAGGAACTTATTCCGGCGTGAACGCGATCTGCACTTAGTTCATGAGAACTAAAGAGTTCTCATGAACTAAGTTCTGATTAACCTTTGTGGGAAAAGTACTGCGGTGTGAATGCGCCCAATGGTGCTCTAGGAGGAGATTCAGGTGATAAGGTGGGGGGGTGTTATCTTGGTTGGTTATTGGCTAATGGTTGCACAACCCAAAAAGACATTGTGACATCGCAGTGGCCAAAATCTGATCAGCTCATTTTCAGACAGGTTTTTCTATAAATGGATCAGGACAAAGAGAGAGAATCTTTTTTCCTGAAACTTTCTTAATCTCAGAGGGGACACATATGTATGCATACAAGACATGAAAAAGTGGATTTTGCATAATAGGTGACCTTTAATACCTCTGCTAACTGATGTTTTTAAAGAAAATACATTGAAAAACTAAAACATGCATACCATAAAACCCGACAGCCCAGGTGTCTTCCTTGACTGTCTTGGTATTCAAAATGTTTGCTGTAAAATGTTCCGTTGATCAACTAATCCATTAAATCAGACATTTTGTTTCTAATTGGCTTCTGATGAAACGCTAGCACAGAGCGACACTTTCGTACTCATGGCTGTGTTTGAGCTGGTAGAGGAGCGATGCATGAATGTGCAGAGCTGTGTGTCCCGTCCATGCAGCTCATTATTAATAATGACTCAGATATAATCTGCAGGGTTGCCAGACTGCTTTCTGCTGCGGAGAATCTTAGTTGTTAAATTATGAGTAGAGAGTAGTTCTGAGATCCTGAGCGTCCAAGATCTGTGATACCAGCTGGTGAAACTTTTATGCACTTTCTGTGTTTAATTTCAGATTTGCAATTCAGTCCAGTTATAGAAATGTTCTAATAAATGAAAGACAGATAATACCTCATAATCAGTGGTATGAAAGTGATGGAGTATTAATCTTTATTTTACATTTATGGAACTGAACTCAACATGTGGTGAGGCTAGAAAGGAAAGGTTCCTACTTCTTATATACATTGTATTGTAATGTATAAGTACTATAGGGCACTTATGGCTCAGGAAGTTTGACAGTTTGGGCCGATAGTTCCTCCAGTCCACATGTTGGATAAGATAGTGGATAAGATACTAAACCGCTCCTGAAGGCATCGCCATCAGTGTGTGAATGAATGGGCATTACGCATCTTACACACGGTCCCGTTGGAAGCTTCAACGGAGACGCTTCCCATTCACTTTGAATGGGGTGACGTCAACTGCATTGTGGCTCCGTTGCTTCGCTTTGCCTGCGTTGCTCGCGCTGAAAGTTGAGAAAAGTTCAACTTTTCAAGCATCGACGGAAGCGCCAGCCAATCAAATCATATGCCAGTACAAGCGCTAGCCAATCAAACCGCGTGCTTTGTGTGTCCGGGGCGGGAGATTAATGTGATTGGTTGTTGGTCGAGTTAACCCCAGGCGCCAGATATGCCCACCGGCAAGCGTCAACGGAACCGTGTGTAGGTTGCGTTAGATGACAATGAGCACCCTGCAGGACAGAGCTATCAGCAGCAGTATAGGTAAATAGTCTAAATGCACTTTTAGATGTTGGACGACTAGAAAAGGCATACATTTAACAGATTCATTTTTAGAGCGTGCTGTTTTGTTGTTACTTTACGATTTCTTAGTTATGATAAAGTAGGCTACGTGTGCCAATGGGCATCTTTTACTCTGCAACAAAATTGATTATTGTTGGATATATTTGATGTTGTTTTGCAAGAACTCAGCAGTTTGTCTTCATCTATTATTATGTCTAACAGCATACTCACATTTACACAGTCGTTTTCCATGCAGTGTGATGAACTCGTATCATCTAGTGTTTGAGTGGAATATAGGGCTTTGCCTGGCAAAAGTAAAAAGCTGTGAAAGAGCGGCATGACCCACTGTCAGTCAGGACATTTTATTTCCCCCAAGCATGTTCTTTTAATGCAGGATCAACAGGTTAACTGTCAGTCTGTATGAATCATATTGACTCGTCATGGTCATTCTGAGCTTTTGAATATCATGCCCACATTCCTTTTCTTCCGTTTTATGTTAATGTTCCGTTTCTCTTCCAGAAAGATTGAAACACACGTGTGTCCTGAGACAGACAGAGGGTGACTGTGCGCTGCGCTCGTGACAAATGACTTGTAAACTCACATTAGTGTCAGGAGGAAGGAGCCGTCCCTTCCCTCCCCCCTGTTGCATGCAGTGACATATTTGGAAAGTTTGGGGAGGATGAAGCAAGCACGATTTAATTCAGGTTTGATGGCATGGGGTAAGGACGGGGATATGTGATGTATGTGAAAGCGATTCAGGCGCGGGATGGACTTGAAGAGCCCGCTGAGAGGCGTACAGCAGTGACTATACCTCTTAGAGATAGAAAAAGAGAGGATGAAGTCGGAGTGAGGGATGGCGGAGTGATCGGCCGTGAAGACAGATGGATGGAGGAAAAGAGAAGGGAGAAGAGAGAGGAAGTGATGAATTCAGTGTCAGACAAGAGGATGGAGAATGAGAGAAGGCGAGAGGCACAGTTGAAGAATAACTTGTTTTATGACCTTAATTAATTTAGATTTTATGGTACTCATTTGTTTGAAAGTTCTGTTTAATCAAATTGATTTATTTTTTGTAAGGGCGTCACCAGTAATAGTTTCATTGTCAATGTATCTGAAAAAACGACTTTTTACGAAAATAAAACAATGATGATGAACCGACACTCAAAGAAGGCCGGGCAGACCACTTTTTAGAGCAAGTGTGAGGGTGATAATAACATACACACAAACTCATACACTCACAAATTCATAGACTTCTGTCATAGTAGGATGCAGGACCCATGAAATGATTTAGGAAGTGACAGACAGGAGTGGAAAATGGTGCGCCTGAAAAAAGAGTTGGAAAGAGGTATAGTTGAAGGGCAGAGGAGACAGGAATGAGCTATAAGAGGGAGGAAAAAGCAGGAGGAGGTATGAAGTGAAGGAGAGAACAGGATAAAGGAAGTGATGATTGAAGGATGCAAGATAGAGAGACGGAAGAGGAGGTAAGGAAGGATTGGGGAGCAGACAGTGCAAAGGGGGGGGGGGGGGGGTTGGGGGTTGGGGGGAACCCAGAGCCTCCAGCTGGAGCCCCTCTGTGCTGCAGGAACACATCCCGAGGCTCGCACACACACAAAAACACACACACACAAACATGCACGCCAGCATGCAGTCCAAGGCAAGTGAGAGCACACTTACAAACCCACAACATATATTCAGACAGAAATATTCTTACATAAACACACACTCATGCAGACACACACACACACACACACACACTCATGCAGACACACACACACACACACACACACACACACACACACACACACGTCACCTCATGTGCCTATTATACAAGCCAGGGCCAGCCGGTGAAGCTGAATAAAATCATCTTCCTAAATCTCCATCCATCCCTCCCTCCCTCTGTCTGTCGGTCTGTCTCTTCCTCTCCATCCATCCATCACCAACTCTTTACTCTCTCCTCCCTCCCTCACTCGTCCACCTCCTGCAATTTTACTTTTTACCTCCTTATCATCTTCTTCTTCTTTTTCTTTCCCATCTCCATCTTTCTCTCGACCCACCTCAGGCAGCTCTATGCCGAGGCTTTAGCAATAAGTCAGGGGACCCTGCTATCACAGCAAACCAATTACCCAGCAATGGGGCACACAAACAGACACACGTACTTTCTGGAAGTTGCAGTAGAAAAATAGAAAGCTATGCGAGTTGAAACTAAATAGAGAAGCAACTAAATTATGCATTTTAAAGACTCAAAACTGCAAGGAAAAAACCTCAGTAGAGAGAAATGATCATGGTCAGATAAACCTGATAGGGGTCTAAACATAAAATGACCTTCTGCAATTAAATGTAGTGCATTGTAAAAGGAGTTCTGGTTTCACATGGGACACCAACAGCAGTCTCCTGTCTGAGTGTACTATTTTCATTTAATTTTAATTTCACATAAGTGGATGACAGTAAAGACCACCTTACAGTGAAACCTTAAGGAAGCACTTTTGTCAGTATCTGAGGTTTACAGCCTGGTTACTCACCAGGGGGTGCCGTAGATCTTGAAACCCCGCACGGTGACCTCGGAGTCCTGCAGGTAGATGCAGTTGGTGAGCAGCGACTGGACGTTCTCGTAATTCTCCGGCTTCAACTTGGAGGCAGAGGGGAAGTAGTAGAAATCCTGCTTGATCAGGTCGGCCATAAACTCCTGGTCAAAGGTCAACTCGTGGTTTCCGGAGATTACTATTTTGATGTCGTAGGGCAGGGTACCTGGCAGGGGGAGAGAAAGAGAGATTAGGACAAATAGGAAAGGGAACATGGGGAAGCAGGAGGCAACATTTGATGGACCTATGAGGGGTAACAAAGCGAGAAATAGGGCTATACGAAGATATGAGAAGGAGAAACGAGAGAATATAGAAGACATGACGAGAGGAGAAAGGTGAAAGTGTTGTAGGAAAGAGAGAAAGATGAAGATAGAGGGATGGAGAGAGGGTCAGAAAACACTGAAAAAAGGTTTTGTTGACAGAGGGAAAATTCAAGACCATATGAATCCATCCCAGACAGCTTGGCATTCGAACACGACATGGCTCTCACATTGTTTTCCACTCTATTTCTAGCAAATCTGTACATCTGTCTTAGCTTCCCTCCATCAGTCAAGGTCTCAACCCAGTGCACTGCTGTCTTCTGTTTATGGAAGCATAGCTGAACGCATCCGTCAGGGAGTCTTTATCTGAAGGGGGGGGGAAAGATGAGGACGGAAATCAGCGAAAGGCGATCATTGTGAAGTTTACCACGCAGAATATTAAACATTTACCGGCTACCGCTGCTGCGTCGGTCCCCCTTTTTCCTCTCATCCTCCTCTAATCAAAAACCTTCACATCGCTCTCCATTTTTTCTCTGTCTCAATGGCTTTAATTGGCTATTCAGAATCCGGCACAGCAGGAAGCGCAATCGATCTGCGCCCATCAAACCCAGCGGCTGCCGGCCCTTCACAAATCGACATGATGTTTTCAAAGCTCTACTGAGGAACCAGAGCCAACACTGACAAAACATCTGGGGGTCTGCTTTGTCAGGTAGAGCGGCTGACGGCGGGCGGGTTCAATCACCATGGCTTTTTTTATTACTGCTAGGCCATCGTGGCGCGCAGCTGAGCGTCGGCTTGTGTGTTTGTGAGCAAATTTTGCTTGTGTGAGTGAGTTTTCATGCATCTGTGCATGAACGTGTCATGTTAGTGAAAAGGAGTAATTAAACTGAGCTTTAGAAGAGGCTGACAGCCCGGCGACGGCTCTGTCATAACAGCCAATCACAGCCCGGTGACAGAAAGAGAAGGGGGGATGGAGGGAGGAAGGAGAGGACGACAGGAATACTTTAGGAAGCCCAAAAAATCCTTGAGAGTGAAGGAGGAATAATAACAAGATGAAAGCAGCTGTCAAAGAGTGCCCATCTCCGCAGTTTGGACTGGGGCCTCCCCCTCCCCACAACACAGCCCCCCATTTGTTTGGCAGAGGGGCTTGTGTTTAGTTGTCAAGCAGACACCAAAAAAGACCTGTAAATGAGGGGCTGCACCACCACAAAAGGCACATGGGACACACTCACCAGCGTACAATGAAAATATTTTTACGATTGCTGTTCGTCAGACTTTGGAATGTGATGTAGCGTTTGCTCAATCGCCCCAGAATCACATGCAAACCAAGCACCTGTATTCTATCAGGCAGAAATATTGAAGCTCTCCTTACCCAAAATGCATCAATCCCTTCATTGTCTAATGCCTTGTTATCAATGTAAGTCTTCAAATCATTACCCCTTTCTATTTTCTCACAAATGTTAAATAGTGTGATATGAGAGGAAATATCCAAGTAAGCATTCAACCTTTGGGACTAAATCATTTGGTCGCAAGAACTTTAGATGCACCACACGAGCTGCTGAAACACTCTGAACTGGGGTCTCATTTGTAAAACTGTGAGCAGGATTCATATTAAAGTGAATGTGTGCAAAAAACTCAAAATGGCAAGCACCAAAAGCAACCAGATTAATAAAACCCTATACACACACACCTGCCTCCACAGTGACTCGCTAGAACTACCCTGAGGAATACCAACATCATTTTTTCCGTAGTCAGAAATCTAGGTGCTGTTCCTCCTTATTTTCCATTCACACATTCCTAACGGAATCATCCATCATGCAGAGCGTTGCATCAGTATTTAAATATTTACAGCAATTAGACATTGCAATTGCTTCACAATTTTTTGCCAAAATGAGTGCGACAATCAGTGGTATCCCTCAACCTTTGATATCATTTGAAAATGGAAGTTTGAAATGAATTGAGTTGTCATACTTGGTCTGCATAAGGAATTATAATGCAGATATGGAGTCTAGTGATTGTGCTAGAGCCGTCACAGGATTTATTTTCAGATGTTAGAGGTAGTGAAGCTGTGTCCGCCGCGGTGTCTTTATAGTTTTTCTATGTGCTGTAAACTGTGTCATAGCCTGTCTAATAAACCCTAAATAAAAACATTTGGGATTTTTATGTCCACTCGGTCACATGGGAAAAATCTGAAAGCTGGAAGATTGACAAAATATCACCTTATTTATTATTTTGAGTCACTTTTCTGTCCACATGATGAATGAAGTAAGTCAAGATGCACTTCACTCTGGTTTGGTGTCCAATAACTCCTGATAAGTACAGTACCTGGTACTGAATATGTTTAATGCTTAATTTGTAGATTAAAAGTAAAAAAGCAAACAAATTGCTAAAAAACTTCGTGGCTCTGATGAGTCTCTGCAACACAGCAGAACCCTTTTCACATTAGACTCCATCATATGAGCCTTCGTAAAAATTATTTTGCCATCTCAGGCTCTTTATTTTTCTAGGGTTATAGCATGTACAAACCTTGTTAAATTGCCGCTCATGCAGTCCTCACAAAATGCTACATATTTATCATACAACATGTATTTCCTCTGCAGCCTTGTGCAGTTTCTGGAAAAAGCTCACTATGAAATAGAGCTATGGGGGGGGGGGGGGCAGCACCTGGAGACTTGTTAAGCTTGTTGTTTAAGTCTTTGAAGACCGGAGCAGAAGTGAATGAGTGTGAAGTTATTCATATTAAACTGGACAGACCTGAGAATGCATGCATGGCAAAAATGAAAAGCGTGCATTAAAAATATATGAAGTAAGGTCAAGAAGAAGCCTTTAGTCTGACACTGGATATTATCTCAGGGGTGGCACATCTACATCCAGAAGTAAAACTGTATATCTGCAAATAAAAGCAAAGAAATGTAATGGAGGGAATCATCCAAAGGTCAAACAAGCTGAGGAAGTACGCAAGTTGCTATGGGATAAGTGAAAAATAAGTAAGAGGAATGCAAGTCTTTTGTGGGTCTGCATGTGTGTACGACACTATGGAAAACAGACAGCGAGGCAAGGTGACGTCGCGCTCATACATTTTTTGACAAATGAACAATATCTGTGTCCCCTCAGAAATTCTGCAACGTTAGCGGTTCTTCACCCATGAAGTTTGACGGCCAACTGTAAAACGGAGAGAAATAAATCACACAGAAATAACACACACAGAATTACATTTCAATTTCATGGATGATTTTTTGAAAGTTTCCCTTGGTAAATAATCTGCAGAAGGACAGAGCATGAATACCAACTAGCTGCACTTTACATAGTGGAATCTGACAGAAAACAGTGTGTCTGCATCTGTTTATCGTTGGGTTTCAACTGCCGTCAATATGAAAGATAATAACTCATAAGAGACATTCAACAATGCAGTCAGTTTCTGTGTGTTTACCACAAAGGGAAAAAAATCAATCACAAAAACACAATTTCTGCGTCAATTGAGAATTAATGTTGTTGCTTCTGTGACAAAAGACGAAGAAGAAAATGGAAGAGGATGTGGGTGGAAGTGGAAGGAGAGGGGGGGGGCATCTAAACATTTAAGCCCCCACAACACGCGGGCCGCTCTTTGTCGCCCGCGCCATCTTTTGTCTTTGAATTCAAAAGGCTTGCTTTTAGGCAACAAATACTTTTAATTTCTGTGTGAGGGGGCCAGCTCGCGTTCTGTCGCAGCGTGGAAAAACACAAAAGAAGAAGAAACAAATGAAAAAAGTGGAAGTGCAAGGATTTGAGGGAAACATGGGACAGCGCAGTGTGAAAGCAAGGCTGCGTTCAGGAGTGGAAACAGCTGGACTTCAGTCTCTGCCCCTTCATCCCTCTCCGGTTCTTTTTCAATCCCCTCCTCGCTCAGAGTCTTTGCTCTTTTGTCAAGTGTCTGCCCGCCTCCAGTCACACACACAGATCTGCTGTCTGTCAGTCACCACAAAAACCTCCGTCCTCCCACAAGCGCTGTGTGTGTGTGATTTAACAGTGTCACATCCTGCCTGCAGGTATTTACATGATCCTGTGTTGGACATATTGCTTGTGTGTCTTGACGTTAATGTGTGTCTATACCAAACACAGGCTACAGTATATGAATGTGTGTGTGTTTGTGGTGGTGGTGGGGGGGGCGCCACAGGAAGTCTTCCAGAGTTCGGCCACCATTGTTCCGGGGCTGCGATGGGTGGTCTGCACTTTGAAGAGGAAAATCCCTGCTCTGCCCAAATCTCTGGCATGTACAGGGGGGGATTACTGCCCATTGTGTGTGTGTGTGTGTGTGTGTGTGTGTGTGTGTGTCTTTATATGTGGGTTTGTGTACATGCCTGCCCAGCCTGCCAAGAGTAAGTTAATTCCTAAGTGTGTGTGTGTCTGCATAGATACCAAAAACTAGTAGCCAAAATGTCCTGCCAAATAACTTAATAACAAAGTGTGTGTATGTCTAAAATGTAATAAGTGTGTGCAGTTGAAAAAAAGAAGGGCCAAATATATCCTGCCAGCACATAATGAATTAAATGAATACCAGTGTGTGTCAGTATGAGTGAATGCATGCATACTGTACAAGACCTTCTGCTAAAATGAAATCAAAGGAAGTTGGCCTTTTAATTTAGAGCCTGACTATAGTTGAATTAATGGAAAGATTTACTTTTCCGTGCAATTGCAGTATACCTGTTTGAATTCATGTGTATACTCCCCACAGCTTATGTGCTTTTTATGTATAGAACGCAGCGAGATTATAGCCTGTGTAGCTCCGGCTGGCATTTATCTGTGTGTGCAGAAACAGAAATGCAATAAATCAAAGGGGAGCTTCAAAAGCAACTGATGTTCAAAGACAGACAACCTAAAGTCTCAGCTCGGATCAGAGTTAATTCCTTTATAGTGTGTGTGTGTGTGT